GCGAGGGTCTGTGCCAACTTCTTTCTCCCTGTGGCACAAGACAAATCAACCCTCAGACAGTCATGCATCGCCGGGGCTCCCGTGTGTTTAATGAGCTGTGTGTATGTGTGTGTGTGTGTGTGTGTGTGTGTGTGTGTGTGTGTGTGTGTGTGTGTGTGCTGACATACGTGTGCGGGGTGAGAATGCATGAGTGCGGCTTATTCTTAAATTAAGATGTTGTTCATTTAAGGCCCACAGGTCCAAAAATTACCTTGAAGTTGACATGAAACAGCATTTGCAAACTATTTTAATTCCATAATGCAAGTGCTTCAATATGAATGTTAAAAAAAATTGATAATAAAGCTGAAAAATAAAGATTATGGACACATTTTGTAATGTGCACTGACAAATTATTCACAATAATTATTCACATTTATTCAGACCAATAACTATGTTAGCATCCAAGCCAAATTGCAATTACGTTTTGTTAATTAGGCATGCTGCTGTTTTGTCGTCTGTCACTTTAAATGTTCTTTAAAGCAGGATGGATTCTGGCTGTCAATGATTTTATAACGTGAATAGTTGTAGTACGGTTATCGTTAACTAAAACTATAGCTGAAATAAAACAAAATATGAAGTTCGAACTAGTTTCCTCTTCAATTCTGTCAAAAAATAGCTCAATCAGCTGGTGTTTTGGTGATTTTTAGTGGATGTTTGAAGCCAAAGTTAGCACAGGTATAGAGAAGTACATGAATTATCAACATGTTTAACTAGTCACAAAAACACACACACAATAATGATGTTCGTTTTCAACGCTAGATCTAAAATAATTTTCTTATTTAGAATTTTTATTTTGTTTTCCAGTACAAATATTTAAATATTCTTGAAAGCTTGCTACTGAAATGAGCTGAAATAAGCACTACAAATACTGGAAATAAAAACTAAAACTGGGATAAAAATAAATGAAACCTAATAAAAAAAAAAAAACCTAATGAAAACAAACAAAAACACCCTAAAAAATGTAACTAAAATTAAAATGGAAAAAAAGCAATACCTCAAAGTCTAGAAAAAGAGTGTGATGACTTATATATTCTTATATAATGGCTAAAAACAGAAGAAAAAAAACCTAATAAAAATGACAAAAGCATTTACTAAAAATGTAACTACAATTAAAACAAAATGTGAAAATATAAAATTAAAAAAAGCAAAAATAAAAACAAGAAAAACTTAAGCAATACATCAAAATGTAGGAAAAAAAGTAAAATGATTTGAATTTATATTATGGCTAAAACAAACATTAATAACAATGACGAATGTGGATTTTTTTTTGTTTTTTTTTTGTATTTTTTTAAATTAGGGCTTCAAGACCAAGAGCACGTATTATTGAAAAACTATCATGCTAATAATTTTGCATATTGTTGCTTCTAAAAAGATCATGGTAATATTAATACAATTTTATTTTTTACATTTGTGTACTTGGGTCCTGATGCAAAACCAGTTGAGAACCATCTTTCAGACGAACTTAAAGCCCAAAAAACTTTCTTTAATGAACATTTAAATCATTTTGTGGCAAACCAGGTTGTGTTTTCTGTGCACATACCGATTTCACACCAATCACGAGCTCTCAGAGCATCTACATCTAACTCTCTCTTTCTCTCTCCCTCCTCCTCCTCCTCCTCCTGCTGCTGCTCTCTCCATCCGAGCTTGGGGTCGCTGCACAAAAGCAGCAGCTCTATCTGCATATGCTCTTCATAAAAGAGGCTTTTGTCATGGGCTTGGCGCACGTGATCCACCCAGCCCCCCTCAGTCTAGACCCGAGAGAGAGAGACAGTCCCACGGACAGACAGACAGCTCCACCTTTAGAAAATGAAAAAGTTGGGGGTGGGGATTATTGGGCTAAAGCCCCCCGTTAACTCCGGCTCTGTCTGTCTTTAGGTGAGCGCGCAGCAGCTTTCTCTGAGAGGCCACACTCGGACGGATTGTAGAGTTCATCACATTCACAAGTAAAAGTCAGTCGACCTCTGCTTGAGCTGAATGCGTCTGGAATTGTCAAAGAATGTGCGTTATTATTATAAACTGAAAAAGGTTTTGCATTGAAAATCGCAGGCTTGTTGAGTGCAAACACAATATAGAGATACAAAATAAAGTTTTTTGTCAATTATTTCTAAAATTAGAAAGTACTTTTGTGCTTTTAAATTTTAATAATAACATTTATTTAAAATGATTATTTAAAAAATAGCTTAAATTACAGCACATTCTCTTAAGAAGTATTATTACAGTAAATATACAAGTTAATCAGTTATTTTGTTTTTAGAAGCAATGCTAGACTGCGTTTTAGTTTAGTAAAAATTGTTTTTAAGGCTTAATTTTGTATTGTAGAATGTAATATGAATATGGAGATAAAACTCTTTTTTTTTTTTTTTTAACTATAAGGTCAATTCTTTCTAAAATGACTTTATTTCAAAATACTTAATGATATCTGAGTACAGCATGTTTGTGGTTGTTGTGGCTGTTAAATTAAAAAAATTTAATATTTATTTAAAATTATTATTTAGAAAATCTCAATTAAAATGACAGCACATTCTCTTGACTCGTGTAAGAAGCATTATAACAGTAAATATACAAGAAATAATTTCCATAGTTTTTAGAAGCAATGCTATCATTGTAGTTTAGTAAATGCAAGCCTAGTTTTATATTTTAGAATGTAATATAAATAGAGGGTTTTTATATATATTTTTGAGATAAAGTCAGTTATTTCTAAAATAGCTTTATTTGAAAGTACTTGATGTCTATCTTTTGTGGCTTTTAAATTCAAATAATACAATCTTTTTTTGAATTGATTATTTAAAAAAAAAATCTTAATTAAAATTATAGCACATTCACATTACAGTAAATATACAAGTAAATCATTTCCATACTTTTTTAGAGGCAATGCAGTTTAGTTTAGTAGATTTTATTCTTAAAACCTAATTTTATATTTTATAATGTAATATGGAGGGTTTGGACAAGAATTTTCGAGAAGTTAATTGCAACAATTTATTACATGTAAAATGTGGTCAAATACTTTTTAAAGAAAAGCAAAACCTCAAAGTCTAGATAAAAAGAGTGCGATGACTGAATTTTCAAAATACCTTTTTTTTTTTTTATTATGGCTAAATACAGTCCAAATTAATGTGTTCACTGGTCAAGTTAAAACTAACTAAATGAAAAAATGCTAAATATTATTTTGTGATCAGAAACATCCAACATTATTCAGTTTGAATCTGTATCTTGTCAGTTTGTCTGCATGACTTTTGCTGTTTGGCCCTCAGTTTTGTGTCTCACACCTAGTTACTCGAAATACTTAAAATGTCTGAATGTCACTACATTACATATTTGATTTGGTATTTGATGTCATTTATTGTACAGAAGAATGCACAATTACACTTTTAAAGCAACTCGTTTGACAAAAAGAAGTTTTAAATACTAAACCAGTAGTTGTTTGAGGTTAGTTAGTTAGTTAGTTAGTTAATGTGATTCTCCACACCTGTGTGAACTCGAGAAGAACTGACTTTATACATGCACTAAAAATCACCAGCTGATTTAAATACACTGAGATTTCAGACACGATGAAGAAAAGTCACGCTAGTGAAGAGAAAAGATCCTAGCGTTTTTATATTTTGCCATTTAACGGTCATTTCTAAGCATCCAAATATTTCCGATGTTACTGTATTTACAAGCATGCAGGATTATTGAGTTCATATTGCCAAGATATTGCATTATTTACAATTATGCATTTAGCAGACGCTTTTATCCAAAGCAACTTATGTGAATTTTCCTAAACATTTGATTGAATTTTAAGCACGGATTGTGAATGACATCAAAATTGCGTGCTTCGTTGCACTTGAAGTGGCTCAAAACTATTTACTGAAGTAATCACAAAAAGTCCAAGTGCTTTTAGATGACTTCAAATGTTTTTCACAATTATAGATGATGTTTTGAGCTCGGTTGATGTTAATGCATTCAGTGTAACGCAAAAACAAAAAAGTCCCAGCTAACAGGGACCGTTCTTATAACTTTGGATAATGCTCTGGCGAGTTCTAAACACACTTCTTTCAGTAACGTTAATAGAAAGTTTGTTTAAAGCTATCTGGTCATTAATAACGTTCTCAAAACATTTATACATCATTTATGGAACATTGTAGTTGGACGTTCAACTGATGTTTTTTTAAATGCTACTCGTTTCAGAACATTCAAAAGTAACATTCCGATAATGTTTGCAAAAGGATCAAATGGAATGTTCATATAACCAAGAAAAACGTTTTTTTTTTAGAATGTTTGGAAAATAATTAAAAAAGAAAGGTTAACATTTGCATAACCAAGAAAAATAAAAAATTTCTAGAAGATTTAAAATTGTATTGGGATAAAAAGGTTCATATAACCAAGAAAAAATGTTCAGAGAACATTGATAAATAACATTTTCATAACCTAATGGTAATGTTAGCGTAACACTCTGAAGTGTGACCTCAAAGAAGTCACGAAACACTGATGTTTGTGCTGGTTAAAACCGTTTTAGACTAAAATTGCAAAAGTGTGTTTTAATGGCCCTGTTACACGTTTATGTGCAATCAGAGGAACATCACAAAAGACAAACAGTTTGCTCTCGACGGCTGCCGTAGTGTTACGGATGAGCGAGCGCTGGAGTGCTTTTATTTGCTGATGTCTGGTCTGTGAAGAGGGCACCATGGGCGGAGGAACTTGATGATGCCCGGTCCAACAGGACATTGCTGACGTGGCACTTAGGCAGGTCCTGGTCCCAATGCAAAAGTATTTAATGCACTTTATAGGTCAATTTGTGCACACGTATGCCAACCTGCTTTGCCGTGCGTTTCGTTGTCCCCAGCGCTGAATTTTAACGGCGTCAATTTCTGTGAAATTCCCATAGGTTTCAGTTCGCACCTGGTTTGTTTCAGTGTTTTTCTTTTCTGACCAGTTTCTTTCTCTCTCGCTCTCTCTTTTCATTTGGTCACGTCCCGTGCCAGCTTTGGATGAAGAGTGGCCCAAACAGAAGGACTCGCTTTACAAGGCTGTCAAAGACGCAAGCGCCAGCTGCGAGAGAAGACCTGAAACGAGCGCGTGGAGCTGGAGCTGGAGAGATTTCATGGGCTCCATCTTCACTGGGTGAGTCGAGTTTACATGTGCTCATTTTTATTGTTTGATTGATGAGTCTCAATAGCTGCGTTGATGAAACTGCACATGCAGCATGCCAACATGAATGTGCATTCAAATACATGAACAAAAGATGTCGTTTAAAATGTATGAAAATCCTTTGAACTATCAATTTATGTTTGCATCTTAAACAGATAAAACGTGGATTTAAATTTGAGAAAAGGAAAGCTGAGATTTGCATTTGAGGTTTTTGTTAATTAACTTTGAAAAAGATCTGCAGAGAAAATTATTTGATTCTCATTTGAGTACAGTTTCACATGGGACATTTTTACCAGCCTAAATAACTGCAGCTCTTATTTATCAATAAGTGTGCGCATTATATTTTTGTTAGGAAATGGACAGCTCATCGAAACTTAAAAAGAAGAGGGAAAAAAACTATAGTTTTATAGAAAATGGTTGTATTGTCTTTTCTTGCTTCTCATTTTAGGGAAAACGTAAAATCATAAAAAATGTTTATGATTTATGTTTTGTTGAAGAATTCTATGATTGTGAATATCACAGGCAAAGAAGATTCGAGTGTCTTTACACTGGTGTGTTTGAATTATATTTTCACACACCTTTATTCATCGCATGAGGAATACAATATTTTTGAATATCTTTTTTTTTGTGGGGTATTATCAGAAAATATTGTGGCATTTGATTCACTGAATATCAATGAAGACAGTGTGTGACAAGAGGCATTGAATCATTGGAGTTGTTTTGAATACAATTTCTAATCTTAATTTAAAAATAATATTTGGCTATTTAGTGTAAATATATTAGCACAGTTTGTGCAGTTGAACACTATTTAAATGCTTAAAATGGGTTTTAAAATGTCTAACTACCTGCATGTTTTTATAATCACAGAGAAAACAGTTATTAAAAATGAATTCTTAAATTACTATTGAGTGTAGTTAGTAAAGCTAAATATGAGTGATATAGTGGGAAAAAAAACAAAATGGATATTTTCTTTCTTTGTCTCTCTCACACACACACACACACACAACTCTCATCTCCACAAAGACATTATATATTTTCCCCTCACAATGTTTTATTTTAGACATAGGACATGCATAATATGTATTTATAAATATTTCATATTTTAAGGGCTTTGCACAAAATTTTAATGGGAAAAATGTGTCTTATGTAATTGCTAGTTCTACTGAAGTTTTACACAACAATATTTGATCTGTAGGTAGAAATGTTGGATTTGAGTAATCATTTATATTACATAATTAATTATATTAACTTTCTTTCAAATGCTACTCTAGCATTTTTACAATTATTAGAAACCAGATTTTAATTTTTCAAAACATTGCTTTTCAAATTCTCTTGCTTTCTTTTAAATGTTTCATTAAGCTGAACATTTTGGAAAAAACATTATGGAGAGGTTTTCAAAGATGTTCAAATTAATTCCAGCATTTTATTGAAATAATTATGTAATATCAAATTTGCATGCTATTATTGATTTCTGCAGATCAGGTGCACGAGTGAGACGCGTCCCTCCAGAAGCGTTTGCGAGCGTGAGAACCTGGTTTCGCTTGGATGATGCCAGAGGTCAAGGGTCAGCAGCAGTTAATAAGAGGAGCTGTCTGAGGTCCCAGGGGTCATTCCCAAGGGTCTGACCCGCTTGTCGGCAACACTTAATGTGAGCGTAATCTTTACCTCGTCAAAGCAAACAACTGTCGCACCCTCTCAATTTAGCTTGAACGGCCCCTTGAGTAACGCTTTTGACCCAGAGGTCGTGACCTTTTTGTCTGACCCAGCGGGGAGTCAATGGAGCAGTTCTTTAGGCACGTGTGGAGGTCAGAGGTCAGACCACCAAAAACAGCCTTTTTTGTGTGAAGTCGGGAGATTACTTGCCTGTGACGGATATGTGAAGTTTTTTAAATTCGGTCGAAATTGTGTGGATTTTTTTTTTGTCGAAGTAGATTAAAATTCAGTGAGGAACATTTGATGAATGATATTTTTATTGTGTGCAACATGCATGTTTGGACAGCAGCCGTTTAAAGAATGCCACCGCTTTAATTTCACACAGTAGAAACAAACAGTGCTGCTCTTTTGAAGAATACTTACCTTGAAACTCTTAGTATCCTTTTTTTCGGACATGAAAGACAATCGCAGTTCTCGGCTCTCAAATCTCCTGCTGTCGGCTGTGTACTTGTTGGCTTTCATTTGTCCAGCATTTCCTGTTGCGACAAACACTGTGTATGTGAATCTGGCGAGGAGAGTCGGGTCGCACCACCTCGCGCTTTCTGGCCTCATACAGACTACTTACTTACCCATGCTAATGTCACGCCAGCATCACGATATCAAAGAATACAGTGCTGACTCAAATGTGCAGCAAAATATTTGTGCTGGTTGGCATATTATTCCATTTTCAATATCCAGTTAAAGTCTGGTTCATCTGATGAAGGATCCATTGGAGAAACATTCAAATATAGCTTCCCTTGCTTGAGAGAGAGAAAAAAAAAGTTGCATTGCATGGCATTGAATTAAAATAAATACAAATGCATTTTAAAAATCAGTTTTAAGGCAACAAATACATTACTTTAATGTTGATTTTAATACAATTGTTATGCATTTTATTGTTGATGTTAATGCAATTGTTATGCATTTTCATTTTTATTTGAATGCAATTGTTATGCACTTTGATGTTGATTTTAATGCAATTGTTATGCATTTAAATTTTTATATTAATGCTGTTGTTATGCATAAAAATTTTTATTTAAATGCAATTATGCATTTTAAATGCGATTTGAATGCAGTTGTTATGCATTTAAATTTTGATTTGAATGCAATTGTTATGCATTTTCATTTTTATTTTAATGCGATTGTTATGCATTTTAATGTTGATTTTAATGCAGTTGTTATGCATTTTCATTTTTATTTTAATGCGATTGTTATGCATTTTAATGTTGATTTTAATGCAGTTGTTATGCATTTTCATTTTTATTTTAATGCGATTGTTATGCATTTTAATGTTGATTTTAATGCAGTTGTTATGCATTTTCATTTTTATTTTAATGCGATTGTTATGCATTTTAATGTTGATTTTAATGCAGTTGTTTTGCATTTTCATTTTTATTTGAATGCAATTGTTATGCATTTTCATTTTTATATTAATGCATTTGTTATGCATTAAAAATGTTATTTTAATGCAATTGTTATGCATTTTAAATGTGATTTGAATGCAATTGTTATGCATTTATTTTAATCTTAATGCGATTATTTATTTATTCAAATTAAAATGAATAACAATTGCACAAAATGAAATGAGAAAACACTGAAATATTTGTTTCATCCATGCATTTTGTTTTTCTCCGTAAAGAAGGAAAAAAGTGCTTTGCAGCATCAGTTGCAGTTAAACTCGTTTGAAATATACACACAGTTCAGTGTTTTTCACAATGCAATCTTTATTGTGTTTCTTACAGAAATGGTCTAAAAGGCTTCAGATATAAGACAGTCGACACCTACGAGATGGTGGCAGCCGCCATTTTGTGATGTGCGGGGCCTCAGAGAGGTGAAGTATATTTGCGTGAGTGTTTGCACAGCAACATTTTATGTTTTCAACAATCCTCATTTTCTAGTATCAGTCACTGAATGTGGTATCTAGCACGTAGCATCTTTCAGATATTTTCTCGTGCACTCCGCAGTGCAATAATTGTGAAATGAATGCACAGCCATTGCAATTGTACCACTTTGGGATTTATGATGCATCTGAAATATGCTGTTCTGTTTTGTCACTAATGGGAGCCGTGTTCAGACATAAAGGCGGTGTTGAAGTTCAGGTCATTAATAGTTGGCCGGTAACCTGTAAGCAAACACTTGTCCTTGGTCGAACCCGATGGCACAGCTGCTGCAGCACCACAAACAAAAAAAAAAACCTAATAAACGGAGAGACGTTCCAGCTAAATAACAAAAGATAAAGCCGTTGCTGTGCCACTCGCTCAGTCTTTGGGGATGCAATGGGCTATCTGAAGTTCGAAATGAAATATAAGCGCGTACGGTTTTATCTGCGAGGCCGCCGATTGGTCAGAAGCCGTGGCGAGATGTGATGTGGGAGGAAAACGGCGGGGTCCCTACCTAACGCCGTAGATGATGTCCAACAGGCCGCACGATCCACGCAAGCTTGCTTTTTCACTTTGCAGTTCTGCTTGGCAATGTGTTAGTGTGAGAGGACAGACGTGAGCCAGCGGCGAAGGGGACGGGTGCGCCCTCCTGCATCGGCCATGTTAGAACAGCCCGATTGCAGCATTCACACTTTTAGACACAGAAAGACGCTGGTTAGGAAAGTAGCCCCACCTTCTGAAATGTCACAAGTCTTCCCACAATCCCCAGAGAGACTGCAAAGAGAAGTGTTGAGTAAGTCCGCAAGAGCTGGAAAGAGATTTTTGCAGTTCGCAGGCTTTCTCTCTTTCTGCACTCTCATTAGTTGAGCCGCCGAGAGGAAGAGTGAGGGGGCAGAGAGAGAGAGAACGAGCGCGTGCGCTGCATTCGGAGGGAAAAAAAGTTTGTACAGCGAGTCTGGCCTCGAGGGGTTTCTGGAGCAAGAGCCAGAGCAAACAGAACCTTTTTTGCTGTGTCGTTTTCCTTTTAATTTCTTACAATTGTGCCTGCCGTAGTGTTGAACACTGGGAAGAAATGGAGGGAAATGATATCGCGACACATCCCTTGCTGCACGGTGAGGGTGTGTTTGAGGGAACGTCTAATGTTTTTGTCGTTTTCTTTCCCAGCCTCGTTCTGTCACCGCAAGGGAGGGATTTAAGGGAACAGGGCAGATGGACGGATGAATGAGAGAGAGAGAGAGAGAGAGAGCACGTGAGGAGAGCAGTATCGTGGGGGCGGAGCCTGTCTGTTTTCCTGCTTTCTCATTGGCTGGAAGGTCAGAGCTGTTCCTTAAATCCAGTGCGGAGACTCTGATTGGTTGGATGTGGGTGTTTCTTTAAGTACAGGCACTTTTATGAACCAGGGGTTCATATTGACCAACAGACTTTGATTTTTGTTTTTAAAAAATGCTTTCATTTAGGTTTGCTTTCAAATATTTGTCCTAACCCTAGTCTTAAACTATGAAAATGCATTGTAAAAATATGATTGCATTTTTAAAACTATGATCTAAACAAAAAGTGATTATGCAAAAATGATTTATACAATTTTTTTTCGTCTGTTATCAATTGCAGTGTAATTTCCACTACGACAAACCGTTTTGCGCCTAATAAGGTTAGTCAGTGAAGACCTCGAGATGATATATGACACTTGATGCATTAAGAAGTCAAAGGTAAATTAAGGTAAATCTCATTTGTTAGCAGAACATTCCTGTTGTGCATCATTTCCGATTTTTTTCCAATTATGCAAAGTGTGAAAATATTATTTTATTAGTGTTCAGATGCATAAAATGCTTGATGAATTTAGCTTAAATGAGATGAAGATGGATATTCTGTTCTGCAAATGTTTAAAATGTAATTTCTGCATTTAAGATGTCCGTTTATGTTCATTACTGGACATGTTTAGTAGACAATTTAAATGAACTAGTAAGATTCTGAAAACGCCTGTTTTAGGAAAGTCTATTTTCGAAGTCGAGTAAACTTGCTGGTTAAAGGAATAGTTCGCACAAAAATCGGTTCTGTCGTTAATCACTCACCATGTTGTTTTAGGCAGCTCGTTTCTGTACATCATTCCTGTAGTATCATAACGGTAGTCCATGCAACTTGTACACTATATGCCAAGCCATAAGAAGTCACATTATACTTTATTTGAGGAAGACACTGAAGTTTAAGTTGTTAGTGAACAAAAATCCCCCTCGTTTTTTCATGTTCATGTCCAGAATTCAAAATTAGCGTGTTGAGTTCGGACACACATGTGAACCAGTGCCATTTTGGCATCAAATACTTGGACACGTTTAATTTTTTTGGTTATTTGTGGTGTTATTAGTCCTTTCTGGATTATTCGGAGAAGTCTACTTTGCGTTCGTGAATAAAAAAACCTGCAGCATTCAGGGTTTCGAAATGTCAAAGTGAACTTTTAATGCAAGCCTTTAAAGCAACCAAATTAATGTTTGATGGAAAGAAGAACTAAAAATAAATCCACTGTTTATGTTCAGAAACTGTGTGGAATTCAAAGTTTCAGATACTTTTTCTGCAGAAAGTTGCGTTCTTCTGCTGTGTTTCCACTCATTTTTCTTTCTTTCTGGTTGGATTATGTGTGTGTGTGTGTGTGTGTGTGTGTGTGTGTGTGAGAACACACGCTGGAGACTAGTTTAGAGAGTGTAAGGGGGGAAAAAGGGGAAAGAAAAAAACCAAGCTTCTTTTTTTTTTTTACCGCGAGGGCCTCTTGACAAGAGCGCGAAAGAGGCTCCACCATAAGCCTGCCAACATGCTCCCAGTTTTCCAGTAAGTTCCTGTGCTTTTTCATGCACCTGATTGCGGAATTTCAGCCTGCATTCGGTTTGCAAAGTGCCTATTTTGACATTTTCTTTTTCAATTTCAGTGAGCGGCCGAGTGCACCTTGACCCGCAGCCCACACTGGCGCAGCTCCAGGCCGAAAACCTGCTGGATTTGCCATTTGGAAGTACTGACCTGCGACTTACCCGTTCCCGATCCATTCGGACAGGGGATTCAGGAGTGAAGCTGCTCCGCTCTGGGACAGGTGCCAATTGCTCACAAAAGGCGAGTGAAAATATCAGTGATCTGCAAAAGGAAACGTCGGGAGTGAGTGGAAAACGCAAACTCGCATGCGTCCGTGCAACTAGCGCAGAAAAAAGTGAAGGATGGTTGCGATGGGAGGGGAAGACCCCGAAAAAGAGGATCGTGAAAGAGGAGGTGGGGGTGCGTTTATTCAAACCTGCTTGATGCTCCTCGGGCCTTCGAGAGCCGATCGCATGTGCCGTAGTAACCGCGGGACCATTTGCATGCGGCAGACACGCTAATTGTGTGTTTGCTAACATGCACCATTCAGCGAGACGCTCTCCAGTCCGCAGACGGGGTTCACACACGCCTCCCAGACGCCCCGGAGGCCTCCTATTGTTCCAAAGGCCCAGCCGGCGAGCCTAACCAGAGCCCTGCGCAGGCCTGCCGAGAGGGGGAACTGGAATTCGAGACCAGACGGGATAGCTGAACGGGACGGACTCGCAGCCCCTCTCTCTCTTTCTCTCCGCAGCAAGAAAAAAGAGGCCTCCGGACGCTGACGTCCTCACAGATATGTGTAAGTCACAGCAGCGTGTGTGCATGCTTTTTTCCTTTTTCGATGCACAGATTGCTTACGTGAGGGTAACATTTATAACAGGCATTTCTGAAGCATAGCATACGGCTATTAAAATGCACCGATTCGGATAAAATGCAAAGACACCGACAAACTTCTTTTGTGCATTTTCACATTGTTTGCAATTTGAATTTACGAAGCGTCGCTGAATTCAATATTATTCCGAAATGCCTGCAAATGCAGTAAACTCTGCAATGTGTACGAAATAAATTTCAGATTACAATTAAGTATCTTAAGTATGCTTATACTGATACTTTTCAACCATGTTGATAACTGAAACTTTTGTACGTAGTGGCCTTGCCTTATTAAATATAACATGCTGAAAAAGGTATTTTTCAGTATTTATATTTGGGTCAAAATGTTGTTTTTTCTTACTAAATTATAATCGGTAGCAAGAGGCCTGGCTTTACTCTTTGTATTTGGCCTCTATTGAATTACAGTCTTGGCAGCAGAACTGGGCCTTTGATCCACCGTACTGATGGTTTTATTTATTGCAATCTTTTTCTTCTTTGAATTTAAATATATTTATTTTAATTGCCATTGTATACAGTGATTTTTTTTGTGTGTGTGCTTTTTGATCAAATATATTTTAAACCTACAGACTGCACATGTGGTTTGCACTATTAAGGTAATATGTTTGCACCATGCATTTAAAAAGCAACACAAATGTTATATATTCCTGATAGTTATGATTTAACACATTTATGATAAATTTAATAACTAGCGAAGCTCGGGAGACTTTTTTTTAATTTGTTTTTTTTAAGTTTTTAAGACAATATGGCATCCCTAAATTTTAGATAGAATTCATACATCTATATGTGTATCGGGGTCTTTCAAGAATTAAAAATAAATATTGAAACTCTTGATTTTATAAATATATTCCCTAAATAATATTACAGTGAATTCTGAAACTAGACCGATATTTATTTACTATTGGTTATTTCCGATTTGTAGTATTTGGGATTGTATTTTTTGCAAAGGTTGTTTGTTTTCTGATCATTCTCAGGCAGTTTTTAGGACAGAGAGTTTGATATTCTGTCGTAACGGCGTAACGGTGTAACGGCGTGTGGTGTAGATTTCTGCCTTCCAGCCAAATACTCCTGCTATAACTGTTATTGTGGGTGTGGAATTATTCAATTGGATTCCCGGATTGTGGCCTAGTGTGTGATTTTACCTGCAGTTGTCGTTGAATTTGCTGACTTTGGGATTTCACTGTGGTTGGCAAAGAACTGCCAGAGCAGGAACAGGGCGCTTCATTGAATGTGGAGACTTCTAACATTTTAGTTGTGAAATGTATGTTAGCTCCACATGCGTGCACACACACACACACTTAGAAGTTTTTCAAAAATACATATTTATCACAGCTTAAAATTGAATTTCGGGATAGTTCTAAATATTTGCATCTTGACTGGTCAGGCACACAGTTAGAAGTACTTAAAAAAATACATATTTATTATGGTAAAAATGTAGTACACAGATTTAAATTGAATTTTGGGATAGTTCTAAATAATTGTGAACTCGATTGGTCTCTCACACACACACACACACACGGTCTGCAGTGAGGGGGTCTCATTCCTCAGTAGTTTGGGCCTCAGTGTGTGTGAAGTTCAAGTCCACCATTTTGATTCAGTGTGTGAATCGAGCTCTATCGGTATTTTAAGTCAATATAGAAAAAATGTATCTATTATATTGACAAAATTAAACCCCAGACAGCAGATTAATTGTTTTATAGTTGCCACTATATTTTAAGACAGTAATGTTCTGTCAAAAGTAGTTTATTTAGCAAAACACACACATAAGTCCTGATTTTATTTCATAATTTAAATCAACTTTTTAAATATTTTTGCAATTATTTTGTGCACATTTGTTGAAAACTGAAACACTGGATTATATCAGTGTATGTACGCACATTTTTACCTTTTGAAGGTATCTGAGGTCCTCACTTAGATAAAAGCGATCCATAAATTAAATCAATGTTTTGTTTTGTTTTTTAAGTGCAAAACGATTCCTACAGGTTTTAGAGTTAGTCTATTAATTATAATTAGCCTTATGTAAAATCTGTATAATTTTAATGGTAAAATATATGTGTGTGTTTTGCATTGTCGTCAGCATATGTGTGTGTGTGTGTGTACTCGTCTTTTTATTTTCAAATTTTAAATTTTTTAACATATATTTCACACTAAACTAGCAAACACACAATAACCAGAATCACAAATATTATAACACGTATAACATTTTGTGACACTTTTAGTGTGTGATTGTGAATGGTTGTCTATTAGCGTGTGTATTGTCTAACCTACTGTAGACAGTTTAGTCCCAAAATAACAGTGCAGAATGTTTAGTTTTTCACGGCTTTTATGATGCACTGCAGGACATTTATTGTACTGCATTTTAGTTTTGGTTAAATCCATTTAAGTATTTTTAATCCTATTAAATTTGTAGTAATTGTCTTTGTTTCTGATGTTTTGCATGTAATGTGTTTGAGACATTACCAGTGCAATACAAACACACGCAACATTCATTCCGTACATTTTTAAATATACCGCACACATGTTTTTTTTAAATTATATTTCATCATAATTCGTTTCTCTTCTCCAAAGTGCGAACTTCACCACAATGTTAGGATAATTTGTGTTAGCTGACAGATTTATTGGGTCATTTACTGCTAGATAATCCACGATCGTTAGTGGCAAAGCGGATTTACACATCTTTTTGTGTTTTTGCAATTTGCACCAAATGTTTTACAGAAAATTGAGACAAACAAAGTAAAAGGAAGAAAGAGTGTGTGTTCGTGTGCATGTATAGTCATGAAGAGTCACTTACATAATTAAAATACAATTATAGTCCCACAATTTACATGTTTATCATGCTCATGTGCAAAACTGTAAATAGATATTTGTAGATTTTGCAAGAAAGTAAAAAAAAAAAATAGGTATCCGCTTTAACGGTCACAAAATATTGCATATTATATTTAAATTTATATTTTTAAATATGCAGTACATTATCTAAAATATGTTCTCTTAAAAAAAAAAAAAAACACTCTACACAGTACTTATGTTCATAATAAAGCATGTCAAAAGTAAATGTATTTTAATGCATAAAAGAATACAAATCTTCACAAATCGCAACATATTTTAAATTTTGAACTCTATAAGCTTGTTATTTTTTTTCATTCAGTCATTCTTGTTTAATTATTATAAATGTGTCCATACTGGATTCATTAGATAATACAAATTTCAGTTTTTCGTTTTATTTTATTTTTTCATCTTTGTTTTAAGTTTATATTTGTACTAGCTCATTTTTAGTTTGTAAATGCAGATTATGTGCTTTAATGAGAAATGCGTTGAAAATTTGTTGCCATTTTTCCAACTAATGTCATGTCTTTTTTTTGCAGAATTGCCAAATATAAGATTTGCAGGACATCTTTTTGAATTACATATTCACATTTAACCTCCCGTTCAGTTTTTCATAATCAGCTGATTTAATAATCACTAATTACTTCACCTTTTGTGGATCTTTGATAAATAATTCACTAAATAAACCTGTCACAGTCATCAATTAAGCGTATTGATGATTTACTTCTTTAAACAAATAGCAAAATGTTTATGAACAGCATGGTTTAATTATTTAAAAAAAGGGTTCTTTCAGCCTCACATGTATAGAGTGAAATACCACAAATACAGCAGTAACTGTGTTTAAATATATAAGTATTACAACTGTACTTTTAAGCAAACAAATTGCTCATTTTACAAAATGATAATTATAATAATATATTTTCTGTCTTTTTTTTAGGCAAAAGTAAAGTTTGAAATGGACTAACCAAGATGCAGCCCTGCACAGGTCAGTACGGATATTATTATCTTTTATAACTACTTAAATAACATGAACAAAAAACCTTTAATTTAGAAAATGAATGCCTGTGCATTTAACAGTATCATGCGGTGGCTTTATATTTATTAATTAGATAGTCTGTATTCTAAACTATGAGATGAGCTGAAATGCATTGGTTGTTTTTTCACAATTATTTTATTTGTTTAATGAATCAGAAATATTTGTATTTTTTTTTTTTTTAGAAAAGAGTAGTCTCACTACTGTTTTTGAACAGTATAATGAATATAATGCACATTTGTATGTTCTACCCTGGTGGAAAACACATTTCCTTCCTTATGCACCTGATAGTGTCGCCCTCTAGAGTCCAAACTCCAAAGGGCCAATTTGACAATCCCATAATCACAAAGCAGATGTAAAAATTCATGTGTGAAATTTTCACTTTAATAGAATCACTAAATTGTCCAAAAGAGTAACTAAAGAAACACACAACGGGCAAAAACTTCTTTTTTTCATGCACTGGTCCATTTGGGGATTTTGCTTTTCATAATGTGTTGACTAAGGCAAATTACACTTTTTTTTATTTTATTTTATTTTATTGCACTTAATCTATTTGCTTCTGTAGATTTCAAATGCAATATTTTATATTCTATAACAATTTTCTCAAAATGAGTTTGTTTCTCCACTTCTGCAACACTTACATACACCAACATTTACAGTTTTATTCCTGTCTATATTCTGAAGGTTTTTATAGAAGGGTTTGTTCATATGTCATTCATTGAACTTTATCTGTTTATGTCTGTAGATTTCAGTTACACTGCATATCTTTAAAGGCCGTTTACTCAAAATGAGTTTGTTTCTCCACTTCAGCAGCACTCACATACACCAAATTTTAAAGTTTTATTCCTCTCTATATTCTGAGGCTTTTTATAGAGGGGTTTGTTCATATGTCATTTATACAACATTTTATTCCTAAAAGCATAGTGAAAATTACTTTATTTTGGCTTTTGACAGTATTTACTGAATTATGAAGTGATAAAAACAGAAATCCAAAATCCCCTCTGTAAAAACATTTAACTCTAATATGTAAATAGAATGAAACAAGAATTTTGAATCTGGCTTTGTCCAGTGTTCATATTTATGTTCTGGAAATGTATGTAAATGACTGCACATTTTATTAGATAGAGCTAAAATGAACATTGTAATAATCTGAAGAACCTTTTTCTGCTTCACAGAACCATAAAGGTTCCATGGATGTTAATAGTTCTTCATGGAACCGTCAATGCCAATAAAAATAAACCTTTATTTTTAAGAGTGTAAATAATCTTTTGTGGAATGGAAAGGTTCTATGAATGTTATAAGGTTCTTCATGGAGCCATAAAAGCCAAAAATAAAGATTCCAAAAAAGAGGTTTTCGCAGTGATGCCACTTTTCTTAGTTTGAAGAACATTTTAATAATCTGACAAACCTTTTTCCACTATAAAGAATCTTTTGTGGAATAGAAAGATTGGATGTTAAAAGGTCCTCGTGGAACCATAGATGCCAATAAGAACCTTTATTTTTAAGAGTCAAAGAAGGTTCTTTATATGATTTAAAATGTTCTTAACACTAAAAAAAATGCTTCTTTTAAGAACTGTTCACAGAATAATTTTTTGGGGAGCCCAGTGTTATTCTTCTAAGACGGTGCTGCGAAAACCCCCTTTTGGAACCTTTTAAGAGACCAAGAAAGAAATAACAGCATTCCTTCTTATTTAGCCGCTTAATTGTCGCCAACTGACTGCATGTAAATAAGCGCTTTCACAGCATCCATCTGCCCCTCTCAGAGTCCTGACCTTGGATCTGAGCCACAAACTTATTTTTGCAGCATTGTGACCTCTCTCACCACCTTTACCAGCTGAAATCCCTCCTAGTTTGGCTAGTTATAGCAGTGTTGGGGAATATCTATCTTATTTAACTCTCATTTGTTAACATTAGTTTAATGCATTGGTTAACATGAACTATCTATGAGCAATATATTTTTACATCCTTGTTAGTTAAAATAAATACAATTGTTAATTGTTTGTTAGTTCACAGTACGTGTAATTAATGTTAACAAATGCAATTTAAAACATTTATTAGTAAATGTAGAAATTAACCAAGATTAATAAATCCTGTTGAAGTATTGTTAGTTTTTAACAAATGAGACCTTATTGTAAAGTGTTACCAAAAACATAGATACTCTATAAGTCACATCTTAGTATTACAGATATATATGGATATAAAAATGCAGATTTTCCCAAAAGCACCTGATTTAATCTTTGTTCGTTACTTGTAAGCAATGCTAGTCTTACACAAAAGGCCAGGATTGTCTTCAGTTACTTTCCAGAATGTTCAGTCGCTTCAGTCATGTTTTTGTCAAAAGTTAATTAGACCAAAAACAATAGTTGCGAATGGAAATAATCTTTTGTGCAAATTATTTACTCGCTTCATTTTTTGAGTTAATCTTGCATGACCTTTTTGATGTGCATCTAGTAAATTATTTGGTAAATGTGTTTCCATCATAGTACATGCACTTCTTGTTAGATAAAAATAGGCATAAAAGTTTTGTTTAAAAAAAACTTTTCATTAACATTTAAAAAATATTTTATTTTACTTGTTTCCATCCAGCATTTTTATTCAATTCTCCCAAATTTGAATACAAATGAGTGGATGGACATCTTGCTATTATTATTTATTGTAATTATAGTTTTATATTTGAATATGGATATGAAAATACTGATTTTCCCAGAAGCACTTGACTTAATCTTAGAGCAAAAGCAGTAAAACAGGTTTGTTCGCTACTAGTAAGCAATGCTAGTCTTACACAAAAGGCCAGGAATGCTAAAAGTTGAATTTAAATAATCATTTGAGCAAATTATTCAGCCACATCGAGTTAAACTTGCATGACCTTTTTTGTGCATCTAGTCAATTATTTGTTAAACATGTTTCCATCATAGTATATGCACTTCTTGTTAGATAACGACATTAAAAATATTATTTTTTAATGAACATTTTAAAAATTTCATTTGGGGGAAGAAAAAAAAGGTGTTTCCAGCCAACATTTTCTATGCAATAAAAAAAATTGAGGAAGGACGTCTGGCTGTTATTATTGTTTTATAATTGATTATGGATTAAAAAAATATGAAGATTTTCCCAGAAGCACTTGACTTAATCTTAGAGCAACTACTAGTTAGCAATGCTAGTTTTACGCAACAGGCCCAGGATTGTCTCCGTACCAGTTACTGCTGTTCCCCTGCTTGGTTTTGGCATGAAACACCATCCATATTGCTGTGTAAAAATGAATTATGAACTATATTGCATAACTGTACCCAATGCCCACCTCCTGTAGGAGCGCAGCACAGAAATCTCTCTGAGAGTTCCTCTCCCACCAACCTGTGTCTGCTTACATTTCCACCGAGCAGATGGCCACGCAGCATGGCATGGGATCTCACACGGTGTGACGCGCTCGCATATGTAACGGGAAAACTTCACAGGCGGACCAGGAGAAATTTTGGTTATTTTTCTGATTGAAAGTCTCTCTAAACTAGCTACCACATCTTAAGGGTTTTTAGATCATGCTACATTCCACAGCTACAAATCAATTTGCTATGAAAAATAGCCATAATTGTAAAAAACATTATTTATCATCTTACCCATAATTGCACCCACAAGTTCACCCAAAAATGATATTTTGCTGAAATCTTCTCACCCTCAGGCCATCCAAGATGTAGATGAGTTTGTTTCTTCATCAGGTTTAGAGAAATCCAATGGAGAAAATCAATGGATCCTCTGCCGTGAATGGGTGCCGTCAGAATGAGTGTCCAAACAGCTGATAAAAACATCACAATAATCCACACCACTCCAGTCCATCAATTAATGACTTGAGAAGACAAAAGCTGTGTGTTTGTAAGAAACAAATCCATCATTGAGACATTTTTAACTTCAAACCTTTGCTTCTGGTTAAAATACGAGTCCTCTGTCCATAATATTGCTCTTTCTAATGAAAAAGTCTTCTCGTCTGAATCAGGAGAGAAATCTGCACAGATCAAGCACTGTTTACAAGCCAAAACAGCTCTAAACAAATATGTGAGTGGATTTTGATGTGAGACGACAAAAGGAGATGGACTTTTTGACTGGAGGATATTGTTGTGGTCAAGACCACCTAAACCAAGACCAGAGAGTGTTGAGACCAAGACAAGACCAAACCAGCACTTCTCAAATTCATCTGAAACATCCATGTTTACTGCCTGAGAAATGTCTGAAATTGATCAATAAATACAATTAGCATACTAAGACACTTTATAGAGCTGTTACAATCAAACTGAGTTACTAACAACAAAATTCATCTTTGCATTGCAGAGGTGGCACAGAAGTTTCATCTGAATTGGTACAATTACAACTCCATAAATATAATTGAGACTAACATAAAAAAAAATTGGATTATAGAAAAATGACACATAAATATGAAACTAAAACCACCAGTAGGCTAGGTGGAGGCAAATCACTGAATGAGTGAGTCACTGAATCATTTATTTAACCGATTAGTTCAAAGCAGCTGATTCATTCAGTAACGAATCCTGGCTGTGTGTTGAATCCGTGTATCATTCGATCATTCGTTTTTTGATTTAATATTGAAAGTAGAAAAATGAGAAAACGGCTCCTTTTTCGTATTTTCGTTTTTTTCAGAAACACGAAAAACGAGAATTCAGCTTAAATTTTCGTTTTTCGTTCTTGGGTGGAAAAATGATTAAACAGCTTGAATATTCGATTTCTACACGTGGGCGCGAATTAAACGCCCCTTTCTGCTGATTGGTCAGCCGAAGATCAAACCGTGCCATCATCAGTTCTTCTGCAGTATGTTGCCTAGAAAAGCACAAAAGTTCTGCTATGGGCTTGTTTGGAACAGTTTTCGTTGCAGGAAGACCAAAAATTGGTGTTTAAAATTGTGGCTAAAATGAAATTGATTCATGTTAACTTGTATACATTTGTATAAAATCAATATCATATTTGTGAAAACAGCTGTCTTTCTCTTGTGATATTGCTTAATTATATATTGATTATATTATATAATATAAAAACAAGATCTCATACAAGTACTTTTTGCAATCGTATCTTGAAATTTTGTATTTGTATAAACTTTGGTGAAATTTGACACAATTCCCCATTAAATTCTGACCTGGCATAACAGTATCAAAATAAATCCAATTAGAAATAAGTTATTGATTGCATTTGAAGCAGGAAGTTTTACATCCAATCAGAGTAATGATGTTAACAAATAAATCCGACAATGCACCAGCAATTTAGTGATATCCCAGCAGTTGTGGTCTTGAAATAAAATCCCGAGTCCTCTTAGTCTGAGACCAAGACAAGACTGAGTACAAATGAGGTCGAGACCTTCAAAAAATGGTTTTAAGACCGGTCTTGAGTATTACAACACTACTGGAGGACTCGTATTTTGACCAGTTTAAAGTTAAAATGCCTTAATGATGGATATGTTTCTCACAAACATGCAGCTTTTGTCTTCTCAATATGTTAACTGATGGACTGGAGTGGTGTGGATTACTTGTGGATTATTGTGATGTTTTTATCAGCTGTTTGGACTCTAGTTCTGACGGCACCCATTCACATCCATTGGTGAGCAAGTGATATAATGCTACATCTCTCCAAATCTGATGAAGAAACAAACTCATCCTAATCTTGGATGGCCTGAGGGTGAGTCCATTCTCAGCAAATTTTCATTTTTGGGATAACAAATCATCTTGGCATAACAACACCTTTAGCGGTATAGGCTAATATGTGTGTGGGCTTCAAAAGTCGCAGTTGCTAAATCACGGATCAAGGTTATGGATGTCTACTATCGTGAAAGAGGCATGAGAGAGTCAGAGTATGTTCACGGTGCTCTAATAATAGCATAGCAACAGATGCATTTCTATCTGGCCGTGGCGGGGGGTACGAGGCCATGGAGGGTGACGCCTCTAATGAGTCATTTTAATCAAGTAAAGGCTTTCTGAATCACACAACATGGTCGATCAAGATAGCTGATATTTGGTCACTGTTCAGATGCTAAACCACAAGAAATCTGATCCTACGCGGACGTCGGAAAAATTGGAAAAGTGCACTGCTAGATATTTCTTGCATTTTAAATCACACTCACTCTCATACAGTATAAGAAATCTTAAGAACTAAATCATGTGTTGTCATTAAAAAATATTTAGACCAAAAAAAGCTAGTTGTGAATTTAAGTCAAGGTCAAGACCTATTTGATGTGCATTTAGTAAATGATTTGCTTAATGTGTTAATTGTAGTTTATGCACTTCATTGTTTTGCCAGAAATTATCAAATTTTGAAGTACATTTTTAATGCACATTTTAAGTTTTATTTGAAAAAAAAGGCTTGCATTATTTGTTAATTTTTATTTTATTATTTTTTTTGTCCAATCCAGCATTTTTTTATGCAAAAATGTTTTTAATGCACATTTTGAAAATTTTATTTTTTTATTTCCAGCATTTTTATTAAATCTTATCTAAAATCTAAATAAAATGGGGAAAAAAGTAAATAATAAATGCAATTTATACGGATGGACAGGATATTGTTATAGTTGTTTCAAAATGTGACTATGGATAAAATAGAATAAAAAGTAATTTTACATTGAAATACATTTCAATGCACTTTTTTATTTTGATTAAATGATGACTTATTACTGATTACTTATTTTATAATAAATTATTTTATTTAAAGATGATAGATAGATAGATAGATAGATAGATAGATAGATAATTTTTTGCAATACCCCAAAATTTAATTAAAAATGAGTGGATGGCCGCGTGGCCATTATTATTATTGTTTTATATTTGACTGTGGATTCTAAAAGGCATTAATGCATACCAAATGCATGAAGATTTCCAATAAAAACTCAAAGTTTCAAACTTATATCTCACACAAAGCTATTGTGTATATTAAAAAGAGAGTTGCATTAACTATTTCACTGTTTCTTTTAGGAACTTGACAGACATGTTCACTATGAATCATCATTACAAGGAAAGAGCAGAAAGAAGAAATTCTCCTGAAGTGTTTGACAGACATGCGGGTGAGTGAATAAGTGTGGTTCTGTGGCTTTAAGGCTTCTGGCGTGGCGTGGGGTACAGTACACGAGACTGTAAGCGGCAGAGAGTGGGCTTGTCAGGTGCTGCTGGCAAAGGTTAGCGCTCCGCTTTAATAACAGGATGCATCTGCTCTCCGTCATGAATACACCAGACTGACTCTGACCAGAGACACGGACCATAAGTCTTTTCTGGCCTGTCACTAAATCGCTTTTTCACATCGTATCAGTTACAGGGAACTAAAGAAGCTCTGGCGTTAACAAGGCTAGTTTGGCCGAAAAGCGGTTCAATTGAGGTTACGCCGAGTCGCTGGTGGAACAGCTTTGGCCGAGAGCCTCCATTGGCCATTGTCTCGCAGTTATGACAAATACGGTGAACTTTTGGGGAAATTATGAACAAATAAGGTGGAAACAGTTGCTGGAATGATAGCGGGGAGGAAATCGGAGCGTATTGTAGGTGTGAACCTGATCCGGCCCTCATCGATTGATCATTGCTCCGCATTCCTCGGCTCTTTGAAGCCTGCGGCCCGACGAAACCCTTCCCAGAGGCTCATTGTCTTGTGTCGAGCTCTGGAGTGACAATCCTGTGCGGCTGATCTGGCTCATTATGGAGTCGTGCTGCTGTTTAGTGATGTCTCCACCACCGGAGACACCGTCTAGTGCTCTGGACAGAACAAGCACGCTTTTTTTTTTTTAAGATGCCATAGTAAAGAAAATGCTCGCGAAAATAGTAATGAGATTAAATAGACTATTCAGACCTGTTTAATGTGCATTTAGTAAATTATTTGGTAAATGTGTTTTTATCCTAGTTTATGCACTTCATCTTTTTTTTTTTTTTTTGTTAACAAATGACATAAAATTTCAAATAACTGTTTAATGTGCATTTAGTAAATTATTTGGTAAATGTTTTTTTATCCTAGTTTATGCACTTCATCTTTTTTTTTTTTTTGGCTAACAAATGTCATAAAATTTCAAATAAAAAAAGTAATGCACATTTTTATTTATTTATTTATTTATTTTAGTTTGTTTGTTTCTAATCCAGCATTTTTGTGAAATACCCCAAAATTTGAATAAAAATGTGTGTATAGACAACAGGATATTGTTATTGTTTGATATTTTACTTTAAATATAATCAAATAATTAAATTTTAAAACAAAAAATATATTTTATTTGAAACAATTACTGTTTTATTTCCATATTGCTTTTATTTTATTTTATTTTATTTTATTATTTTATTTGTTTCTAATCCAGCATTTTTATGCAATACCCCAAAATTTGAATAAAAATGTGTATGCACAACAGGATATTGTTATTGTTTGATATTTTACTTCAGAAAAAATC